CCCGGGCGGGCCGCGTTTTCCTTCTGGGGCTTGTCATGAGGGCAAGGCTGGCATTGGCAGGGTAGGCGCGCGCGACACAAACCTGCCCAGTCCCTGCCATTTGCGTCCGGGTTCTTCTCCGAAGCAGTCGGCGGCTCTGACACCCGTAAAACTTTCGTCCCCCTTTCGGTTGTTGAGTTCCGTTATTTCCCAGTTGAATCTCATCTGGGAACAAGCCAAGGGGCCAACTCCAGCGACGCGACGCGCGTCCGCAGAAGAGAACGCAGCCAGCTCGGAATCGCTGGAAGGCAAACTTCTCTCCAAAAACCAGGGCAAAAGCAAGCGGACGGTTGCTTTTGGGTTACTTGGGTTCAAATTACAGCAAACCAGAGTGCGCCCCTCCACGTCGTCCTTGGAAATTTTTCCTTGAAGAAAACTTCTTTCTTCCCCAGTATATTTGCATACTGAATACGAAGTAAGATGACTTGTTCTTCACTTTCCTAAACTTCAGCTACCCGGGTCTTTAATAGGTTGCAGCTGTATGAACGTTTAACATAGAAAAGGTAGTATGTTGTATCCATTATTAAAATATATCGGATCTGTTTTATCTATTGTCATAAGAGTTGAAGGACTGGTTTCAAACAGGTTGAAGCTCTTTCTTCTGGCAAGCAGAAAAATGGGTTTCCTTAGGTTATCCAACCTGCTTAACAGAGATTGAAGAAATATCCTTCCAAATGATTCAAATAAGCAAAAATCCTCTCTAAGTAATATTTTCAGCAATCTGCCGTAATGTATAATAAAACACACACACACACACAAAGTATTTTCATTACTTACTTTTTTACTCTATTCATTATAGATTATTCTGAACATCAGTTCTGAAAAGGCTTTGGAGAAAAACATTTTAGATCCATAACCTGTTGAATTTTATAAATAAAATCCTAATTCATATGCTTTTTATAGTTGGTGTTTATTCAACACCAGTTACAAGGCATACTGAAATTATAAGACTCCATTATAAAGTCTTCATAAATATTGGCAAATAGTATCAATTAACCTCTTTACTTGTATATCAAATACTGGCATTAGTAAGGTACTACATATTTCTGTACTGCAATTGTTCAACAATTATAAAATAGATATTGCATGTTAATTGGTAATATGTAAGGCATCTTCAGTCTGAGGAAATTCTTATATCAGAGATGACCTACAGCTATCGCTTCATGGTACAGAGACTCCTAACACAAACCCCCTGAAATCTATAAATCTGTTTGCTTTCTTTTCCTGTACTTACTTTTAAACAGAAACATTGCTTTGCTGTAGGTTGTGGCATAATTGTTATGATAAATAACAATAACCAATATAATACTGGGAATTTCAGGGATTCGTCTCAGGAAAACAATTAACTGTAAAATGCTGCAAACAGCAGCAATTCTAAACATATTTCCTTACTCTCAAATAAATATGTATTGGGTTCATTGTATCTGTTTACTGATTACCTCTTATCAACAACTATTATTCAAACAAATATTTGTCCTTATTTTTGTGAAAACATAATGTTTCTATTACATGCTTTTATCAATTCTAAATTATTTGGATATATATATATATTCCTAAATGTACCCAATTGTTAAGTAGAAGAAAGAATTTTAACACTGAAATTGATTACAGTATAAGAGAACATAGTTTTCTGCAAGGACAGAATACACACATACAGTTTGTGTGTGTGTGTGTGTATGTGTATGAATATTCAGCCCAATTTTGTTTTATTATGATTAACATAACTTTGCATTTCCCAAACTCTGCTTTCAGCAAAACAGTTCAAGAGTATCTAATAAAATTAAACATTCACTGAATGTGTCTTGTAAAGATTTTTTCCTTTAGATTTCAGTTAACTTTTCACAGATTTTCATAATGCTAACTTTTGAGGATAACTTCGGGCTATTCTAAATGGAAAATTTTACTGATATCCAAAAATTACACAGATTCTGCTATTTTCTACATTGATCATTGCTGGTTCAAATGCAGACATGATGGTTAACAGGATCAATGAGGAGTCATCTCCAAAACAAGAACTGTAATATGATTCATGCCAACAGATATTTTACTATTCTTCCTTTTCCTATATAAGCCATTTCCACACTGTGAATTATAGTATCTTACACCCAAAGATTACTGTGGTAATGTAGAGCTTGTCTTTATAATATCACACAGTGCAGTGACAACCATATGACATTATAAATCCATGGGGTAGAAATTACTTAGGGCCATAGGAAACTGATATGTCTCATATTTTTGCATACTACCAACTAACAACACCCCCTTAAAAACTGTAAGGCATTCAGAATAAGATAGTGATTTTTATACATATACATTATGTATAATATATACAGATATATATTATTATTTTCTACTTATTTACTATTTATTAGATTTATTAAATTTATTATACATATATCTTACTCTTTCTGCTGTTCTGTATGTTAACTCCATTGAACTTAACATATCTAATTGCTCACAAAAGTTTCAACTGATATACATTCATATAATAATCAAACCTGTTGAAATCAGTAGGACTTACTCTCCGAGCAGAATTGAACTTGTTCTGGGAAATCAATTTTCATTGTTAGAAAATAATGTACCAACAGAATACATTTCAGACACTTTCTGAATTATTATTTTTTCTCATTACATATACATATATTTTTCTCATTAGGAAAAATAAGCAAATAAGCATAAACGTGATGTGTTTGTTATAGGTCACCAGTATACCCTCATGTAAATCGTGACTTTCAAGTCTGCACTGTTTATGAGGGAAATATGAGAGTGATTGAATCTCCAATAT